TGGGGGTTGCGGCTGTGACTGTCTTTATTCCATTTCTGTCTTCCGTCTTCTCCAACTCAAGAACCTTTCTCTGTGATCCTGGGGGGCTCCCGTCCCCTCAAGAAGGCCTGGGGACCAACTCTGAGCGCACTTAGGGCCCCATGCAAGGCCTGCATCAGCCAAGGGCGGCCCCCCCCAGGTCATGCCTCCCACTGATGCGCTTGCTATGAAGGCTGGCCTCATGCATTCTCCCAACAGAGTCAGCCAGCACTTATGAGGCACCTACTGCGTGCCAGGCTCTGTTCTGGCCTCTGTTCACTGGACGTAGCAGTGAAGCAGAGACAGGCCCGTGCGGCCAGGAGCCTCATGCTCTTGTGGGGGCGCCCTGCGCTAACCAGGGAACCAATGAGAAAGAGCCCTGCAGGTAACTAAACGAGGGGCCGTGGATGAGAGGGAGGTCACTGGTCCCTTCTGAGATGACACCTGAGTGGAGAGGAGCCAGTGGGGCAATTTCGGGCAGAAGGGCGCCCCTGGCAGAAAGAACGTCTGGTCCTAAGGCAGGAGAGGTCTGCGTGGGTGACAGCAGCAAGGAAGTGGCCGTGGGGAGTTAAGGAGGGGGAGTAGGGGACGAAGTGGGAGGGCCACCGCCCCACTTCCTGCAGGGCAGCAGTGCCGGGACGGAGAGCAACCCTGATGGGCAGTGGGTGGCTCCCTGGCTCTGGGGGAGCAACTCCTCAGGGGTACATCCTCACTTTCAGAGCCCAGCCCGGTGATTCGTGAGGACACAACTTTATTGGTACCTGCTCTTCCCTCACTCACTCCCTCTCCTGCTGGTGTTTCCTGGGGCCATCCCCACATGACCCACCCCTGAAGGTCAAGGTTGCCGGGGGCACACACAGGCCAGGCCAGTAAAAACAGCAGCGATGGAACCAGCTCCATTTCCGGGGATGTGCTCCATGGCAGGGCCCCATGGGGATTCGATAGGGACTAACCCATCTAATCCCCGGCAGCCACGAATGCACGAGGGTGGGGCACCCGGCCACGGGCTCTAGGTGCTGCACCAAGCGCTGGGGATGGTGGTGAACAAACGCACAGAAACTTCTGTCTCTGGAGCTCATGTTCCCGTGGGGGACGCTGACAACAAGGGAGGTAAATAAGCAAGATATTTGGTGTGTTAGAAGGTAGTAATCATTAGGGAGAACACTAAAGGAGGGATGGGGAGTCCAGGGGGTGACCTTTACAGAGGTACCCAGACAGGGCCTCACTGAGCAGGGGGAGGGAACAGCAGGTGCAAAGGCCCTGAGGTGCAAGGCCAGTGGAGCTGGAGAAGTGGGTGTGGGGAGGGTAATAGGACAGGAGGTCCAGGAGGTCACAGGGCAGGTGTTTAAGCTTTACCCTGAGGGCATTGGAGCTCTGGGAGGGTTTTCCACAGGAGAAAGGCTTATGACAGGTGTGAACAGCAGTCCTCTGGCCGTCTTCTGGCTGGCGTGAAAGCAGACCACAGGAGGGAGGGCAGAGCAGGGGACCAGTGAGAGGTGTGGGCCTGTGTCCGAGCCACTGGCGTAGGGTGAGGAGGGACTGACTCTGGGTAGGTGCTGAGGCTGACTCCATGGGACCTGCCAAGGAGGGTGTGAGACAGAGGGCCGCTCTTGCTATCACCAGCTTTCGGATGGGAACACAGGCACGAGTAAGTAGCTCAAGGTCACGGTTAGTAAGTGGCAAAAATCAGTATATTTTTATATGAAATCTGCCTTTCGAAAATGCTGGCAGTAAAAATTTTTTAAATGTCAGGGCCGTGTGGAAGAGACAAGAGCCCACCCCAGCCACTGCAGTGGTGTGCTCCATTGGCGTTGACGAGCCAGGGCTCTGGGGGCACGGCGGGTGGGCAGCCGTGGGAATCCATCCAGAGCCAGGGTGCTGATTTGTGCTGCACCCTGCTGGGCTGCTGAGGGAGGCGGGCAGATGTGGCTGGTAGAGCATCCCAGGCCGGGGGGTAATTGTGTGTGTGTGTGTGGTGGGGGTAAGGGCTGGGGGGTGCCCAGAGCCCCACAGCTGAGATGTGAGTATTGGCTATGGGAAGACTCCCAGAGAGGGCAGGACTGGGATCCATGGATACACATGGGCATACATGGGCTCCTGTATGTCTGCAACTGGGCCCAGGACCCAGAGCATGTCCCAGACTGGTGAGAGTCACTGCTGACTGATCCTGCCCATGTGCACTTTATGAGTCATAAACAGCAACCCAACTGCACCAGCCTTCAGCATCAAAGAGAATTTATTGCCTCACATAAATGAGAGGATAGGCTTCAGGCATAGCTGGATCCAGGTGCTCAGTGGATGCCTTCAGGAATCTGTTTCTCTTCATCTCTCTGTCAGTCTTCCTCAGTGTAGATGTCCCTCTTTTGTGGTGTAAACTTCACTCCCTTCATGGTGACAGGATGATAATACCAGCTTCAAATTAATATCAACCAAGTTAGCAATCCCAGCTGGAAAACAGGGCCTTGTTCCCAGGGGCTCCAGAAAAAGAACCCAGTGACATGCCCAGCCCCCACCCACATTTTGGAGGTGTGGAGGAACCCTGCCTGGGATCCTGGAACCAGTGAGACCTGGGCTTCTGTGCCTATGACCTGCTGAGGGACTGTCCCCTCCCTGAGTCTCCTCCCTCACACCTATGAAGTAGGTACAGCCAGAGTGCACAGAGAATGAGGACAAAAAGATGCAGGAATTGTCTTGGGAGGCAATGGCACCATCTGGGAAGGTGCCTCAGTCACCTAGGGGAAATGAGGGTGAGGATTCGCACCTTGAAGGGTGTTACGAGAGAAAGCGTGTGGCACACCCTGCCACGCCCACCCCACTCTGTAACAGCCCCCGCATCCCAGAATCCTCTCTTTTTGGCTGGATCTTTGCTTTTTTTTTTTTTTGGGAAGTGAGGATTTATTAAGAATATCAAGGTCCAGGGCTTTTTTTTTTTTTTTTTACCATATACCTCAAAAATTGGTTTTATCCCCACAAAAAAATCCATATCATTTAAAACTAGATATTCAAATTACATGGCTAACATTTTTAGCTAATCAACTCTTCAGTGCTGATCCTAGAAAACAACCTTCAGTGGGTCTTTGAATAATGGAACAAGACAATGTTCGGCCATTGATATGAGTGATGTAGGTAGTCACACCTTTAACGTTCAAGCCACAAGTTGTGAAGTTTGGAAGGGGTGAGGTCTACTGTCCTGCATTATCAGAAGTTGTATTTTCAGTGCTAGTGGGTTGCACGTTATCTGCAAGGTTGTGTGCGTGCTCAAGAAACAAATCTTTCAATACACTTAATTCCTTAGTCAGCAATTTAATTTTTGCTTCCAAACGTTCATTCTCTTCTTTGAGCTGATTCACTCTCTGCAGTGTATCCTGTGCTTTCTGCTTGCTTTTCAACCGGCTCTTTTTCACAGCCATGTTGTTCCTCTCTCTGCGCTGATGATACTCATCACTGTTGTGATCCATGGGCGAACTCTTTTTGCTTTGCTTGCTTGGGGGCACGGCTTTGCCTCCTCCCCCCGGGCCAGCAGGCACCAGCTGAGGAACCTGCTGTAAGCCGCCAGCATGAGCCTGAGTATGAATAACACTTATTCCCGGAGTACTGTTCCGCTGGGCTATCTTGCTCATTTGGGCACTCTCTCTTGCTGACACAGAACAGGCAGAAATGAGGGCAAGGTGATCAATGGTTTCCACACTAAGCTGCCAAGAAATCTTCACATGTACCTGCGCCTCCAGCCCGCCCGCCCCCAGGCGGCCTCCACCCCGAGCGGCCCCGCGCGGCGCGGTGTGGTGCGATGGACCCAGGCCTTGCAGCCCGCCGGATCGTTGCTCTTTTAGGGGCAAGCTGGGCCTGGAAGAATGAGCAGAGAGGAGAATGGTGGGACGGGAGCTCCGGGCAGACGCACGGCATGGCGTGAGCTAAGGTGTGGCGGTGGGAAGAGGCTGCCCCGAGGCAAGGGAGCCCCGAGGAGCTTGTTTGGAGCTCTCTAGGGCTGCGGTGGGCCTGGTGAGCGGGCAGGGGAAGTGGGGGCAGGGTGGGGCAATTGGCCTGGCAGAAGGTCCTGCAAGGTGACCTCAGGCCTGGCCCTCCCTCTCCAGGTCAGGGTCTCCCCCTGCTGCACCGTGAACAGCAGCGGCCCGGATGCCTTGGTGAGGGCTGCTGGCTGGGAGAACAGTTGGGGGGACCCTGTCCAGAACCAGCAGCCTCAGTGTTTCCACCCGAGATGTGGGCACCCCCAGGACAGGGCCTCTTTCCACTACCTTCCGGCCACCGGGAGATGCTTGTCTGTTTTATCAGAGGCACCCCGTGACTCTGACAACCGTCTCTCCTTATCAGCAGCCCACCCGGCTGTCCATGGGGTGACAGGCACCCCACTGGCCAGTGTGTCCACACTTAGACCCCCAGTTCCCAGGGAACTGCACCGGGACCAGCGATGCGCTGGGACCCGGGCTGGGCATGTCATTGTGTCCAGGGCCCGGAGTTGGCAGCGGCCATATCCCCCACAGGGTTCCTAGTGCTGGGGGGCTGAGGCAGAGGACCAAAGCCTCCCCCTGCCTCAGTTTCCCCTTTGTGACGGAAGTCCAGGAAACAGGGGTCCCCAGAGCGGTTCCTTGCCTCCCAGCCCATCCCTGAGCCAGGGGGCAGCGGTGCCAGGAGGGCCAGGGCACCACCCTCTGAGCTCCGGCCTCCTGTTGCAGCGCCACTGTCCTTTGAGCCTCTTCTGCTCTGGCCATTGGCAGCCTTCTGCGAGGGGAGCCCTGAGGCACCGAGAGAGGAGGGGCTTGTTTGACGCCCCGCAGGGAGACAGGCAGAGCATGAGTAGACCTGACACCAGGCCCCGTCGGGCAGAAGGAGCACTGAGGGCAAAGGCCCGGAGAACGGGGGGACCTTCAGGGGACACTGGCCGGGCCTCCCTGAGCTTGGACTCAGCCCAGGGGAGGCTCTGGCGCCCGGCTACTGGGGGACCCCGAGGGCCTGGGTGGTGGCGTGGCTGCGTTTCCCTGCGGCCTGCTGGACACGGAGAACTAGCGAACTGTGGCTGGTCGGTGCCTGTCACCTGCCCCACCGGCCCGCGCCTGTCTGATGAGGGCGTGAGCGGCTTCATCTCAGCACGCCCATTACACAGCAGTCCTGCCTGGCGCCCACCCACGCCCCCCTGCCCCAGAGCTGTCTGGCCTGCTTCCTCTGGGACCCTGCCTGCGGCCCCCTCCCCAGCTGCCCCCCATCTGGTTTTCCTCCTCCCTCTCCTGCTCCTCTGCCTTCTCTCTGGGCTCCCCTGCCACTGCCTGAGCCTTAGGTGCGCCCCCCCACCCAAGGGCTGTGGAGGGCAGACTCGGGGGTCCACACCACGCTCATCAAGGGGTCTGGCCCAAACCCGGCCCTGCTGCTGGGCTCCCCTCTTGGTGGGCCCACAGTGGGCCCATTGACGCCGCAGAGGCTGGCCAGGCCTCCTGGGTCCCCTCCCTCCCGGCTCCCTCTTGGGCCCAAGCAGTGCCAAGGCCAGCAGAGGACTTCATCTCCCGATCATTCCCACCCTGCCTCCTCCTCCCCAGCTCTACTGAGCCCCCGCCCCATCCCCTCACCTGGCCTCGTATGGCACGCCCTTCCCGGCCAGTGACCTCATGCGTCCTCCCCCTGGATGCAGGTCTCCCCCACATGGATCTGAGCAGGTCCCTCGTGATGCTGGTGGAGGTGGAGGCGGAGGTGGTGTTCTTGGGTGGGGGTGAGGTTAGTGGTTGTACGATGACAGTCTAGGGACAGCATAAGGACCTGGCGTGTGACGTCCTGCTTGGGTAGTGAATTGGGAGGACACAGGATGGGTCAGCTCTGGCTTCTATGGCCTGGCCTGGACTCTGGCTCTGGAACCCTTGGGAAATTTGGAGCTCCGGGGGGAGGCCTGGCTCCTGCGCCCCACCTGGCCTGCCCCCCCCACCTGCCTTTCTGCTTCCAAGCCGGGAGCCTCTCAGGGCCCTGTCAGCCTCTGAGGGAACTTAAGAGGTGGGGTGAGGAGGGGGCCCTCAGAGGCTGCAGGGTGGGGGCGGACGGGAAGGTGTGATCACAACTTGGGGGGGCAGACACTGGGGTGGACAAGGCAGGGAGAAAGGATTCGAGGAGAGGGCGACCCGACCTCCACTGGTGCCCTTTGCAGGGACCGGCCCACGGAGCCGCACTTCCAGCCCGCCCCTCCGACCTGCCCCACCTCAGCGGGCTGCCCAGCAGGGCTTGTGCGGGGCAGGCTCAGGGCCCGGGCCTCGGGGTGTGGCAGCTGGGAGGAGAGAGAGGGATGCGGAGACCGGAGACAGGAGACAGGGGGTGCTGGAGGGAGCGGAGGCGGACCTCGCGGGGAGGCAGGCGGCCTATGTGCTGCTGCAGGGGCCATCGGTCTCCCCCAACCCAAATGGCCCGGCCACAGGCACCCTCACCGGCCACCTTCCTTAGCTCGGTGGGGCTCAGTTGGGCCCGGGGAGCTGAAAGGACCCAACCTGGGGAGGGAGTGGGGGTGTGCAGGTCAGGGGAGGAGAGGCTTGGCCCCCCGCAGAGCAGGGTGGCAGTTAGCCCTGTCTGCTGGGGACTGTGCTGGAAGCCTGGAGGCTGAGGGCTGAGTCTGTGGGGTGTCCCTGGAGGGGCCAGGCAGGTGGCTGAACCTGGCCCCTTGCCCCAGCCTCTCCAGGTCAGCCTGGGTTCCCAGCTGGCCTTTATCTGGAGCCCCAGCTGTGGCCACGGGAAGTGGCCGTTTCTCTCTGCTGTGCTGTCTCCTCACCAGACCCGGTGATGGTGATAACATGGGAGGGCGTGGGGGGATTGAGCAATCCCTCGTGGTGGGGCACACAGGGAGCTCCGGGGTGCATGACCGCTGACCTGCTGGCCTCGCGGGGGGTGGGGCGCAGGGCAGCCTGTCCTGCCTGATGGTTGCGCCGCACACAGGAGGCCGCCGAGGCGCAGGGGTCACAGGCCACACTGTGTGGGCTCCAGGCTGCCCGCACCCCACTGCATCCAGGGAGCAGGGGGCTGTGACCCCAGGGCCCGGCACACGGGAGGTGCTCAGTAAATGTGGAATGACCAACTTTGGGCCTCTTCCCAAATCTATCCCTGTTCCCAGTTTCCACCTGCCTACGCTGGATCCCCAAACCTTCCCAGAAGCCCTTTTCTTCCTCCCAGGGCTCAGCCTCACCCCTCCCCTGCTCCTCGGCCAACTGACAACCAAAACCAATCCTGGGAGCCTTCCTCCAACCCTGTGGTCTCTGCCCCTCTAGGGTGAGGGGCCCTGACCTCCAGGCCCTGGACATTCAGAACTGGCATGAAGTTGGGGCCAGAGGGGTCTCTTGAAGCCCAGATCTGACGCACTCTCCCTGCTTACATCCGGCAAGACGACTGGCAGCAGGCTTCAAGGCCTCTGGCCCCACTCAGCCTGCCTCCACAGTAGCCTCCTTTACTTCCCTGGCCCCCACCACTGGCTCTCAGCGAGGGAATGGGGCTTGGACAGACAGAGGAGCCCAGCGTTGGGGTCAGCTGCTCCCCGAGGGAGCACAAAGCACCTCCCACCCCACTGTCCCCTAGCTGCCGGCCGCTGCCTCCCCGCGATCAAGCCCTGGTGCTGGCTGAGCTCGGCTAATTAATGGCACGACTCTGTTATCAGCCAAGTGCTAATTACTCTTTTGAATCAGGGCTGCCTGTGTGGAGGCTCCTGGAGGCCCGGCAGGGACTGGGGGGAGCCGGGGAGCCTTGACCTCATCCGTCTTCACACAGGCCCTATCTAGTGCTCTCCTTGAGCCTCTGCTGGATGGCACCCCTCCTCCTCCTGGCGGACTCCTACTCTCTCTTCAAGACCTTGCCCCAGTGGCCCCTCAGGGAGAGGCCTCTTCTCACCTGTCATGGCCACGGAGGACGACATGGCTAACCTAGGAGTGGAGAGACTGTGAGCAGGACTGGCCTTGGTCTCCAGAAGGGGAGCCGGAAATGCTAAATCCCAGGTAAAGGCAGAGGAGGCAGGGAAGGCCTGAGGCCTGGATCAACCCGAGGGTGAGTTGGCACTGAGAGGGTCCTAGCTCAACTTGAGGGGGCCTCTGGGTCCCCAGAATGGGGGCAATGAGCCCCATTCCCATCCCACCAGGTCCTGGGAACCAGGCCCCACTGACTCAAGCCCCTGTGGCCCAAGGGACAAACGTGTCACCACCTTGTGCACACTGGGCCTGATACCCTTCTTCTTCACCCCATTCCCACATAGACACACCGGAGAGCCACAGCCTGACAGACTGCCCTCCCCGAGCACACACGGAGATACACACACACCCAAGACACCAAGATCCACGCACCCCTCGGCTGTCGACAGCCACAGATACCCGGAACACAGACCCACGCCCAAACACACACCCACACACGCACGGGCAGGGCAGGAGGCCTGGGAGAACAGAAGCTGCCCCTTCTTCTGCCCCGGGCCCCCGGGGCTTCCCGTTTACGAGACTTTATCTATCAAAAATATATTAACCCAGAAGCCTGTTTCCATCAGAGTCTCGATTCCAGGGACATTTCCAGATAAGCCTTATCTCATTGCTGGTGCATTAGCCCCGCTGGTCGGGGGCCTGCCAATCACGGCCGCCCCTCCTGCCCCAGCCCGTGGCAGGATGCCTGCCCATGACTTCATTCTGTATGGGCAGGCGGGCGGGGGTTGGGGGGGGAGTTGGGCGGGGCACTGCTGCCCCTTGCCCCCCACCCCATCCCTCTGCCCAAAGCAGGGCCCCAGAAGTCACCTCTTTCCAAGGACACACCCAAGGCCTGAGGCAAGGGACGTGGGGATGTCTGGAATCATGCAGAGCCTGGATTCAAGTCCCAGCTCTATCTGAGGCAATGGCTATGGTCAGCCGAGCCCCAGTCCCCACCACCTCCCACATCTACAGTTGAGGCAATGCTTCCCAGACCACCCCTACGGATAGAAGCGCAGGTTCAGCAAGTTGATGTGTGTGAGGATGGCTGCAAGAGGCTTGCACTCTCTTCTATAGCATCTAGAGCTGGCTGGGGACCCAGGGGAAGGGGGACACTGCTGTGGGGATGCCCCTGGACGCTGCTGGCCCCCACCCCTGCCCACCTACCCTGGCCGCGATTCTCCTTCAAGGGCTGTGTCCTGGCCCAACCCGGCTAATGGGTGCTCGGGTTTCTTCTGATGCCAGGCCTGAAAGAGGCCTCTCCCCGAGCAGGCTGTCGGCCTGCACTCTCTGGGGGGCCTGAGGCTTCTGGGAGTCACACACTGGGCGGCTCCTCCTCTTCTCTGTGCCTCGGTGTCCTCCGCCTGAGTCCGCCTCCTCTCCTGTCTGCAAGCGAGATGGGAGGCAGGGAGAAAGGTATGGGTGGATGTGGGCATGTCACAGAGGTCCTAGAAAAATGGCCAGTTTGGAGCAGAGCTGGGCCCTGGGGCTGCCTGCACCACTCCTGAAGGGTTTGTGGGCCCCTCACCTCCCAAGTGGTGAGACCATGTCTGCTGGTCCTGCTTCCAGGGCTGCGGGTAATACGACAGGCAGCAGGGTGCCCCAGTACCCGAACAACCCCACAAAGCAGCTGCTTTTGTTCTCATTTTATACATGGGGGCGCTGAGGCAGAGTCAGGGGACTTGCCCAAGATCACACAAGCAGAGGGGCCAGGATGAACAGGCGGTGGCTTGAGTGCACTCTGTTTCCCCTCCCCCATGGATCTGCTCCCAGAACTAGTCCCTTCTTGGTGACCCCTCTATGCCTGCTGGGGTGGGAGTGGGGGGCTCTGCTGGGTCACATAACCCCTCATTTGGAGAGAGGGACAGTGATATGCCCAAGGGTAGGGCAGGGCCCTGTCCCTGAGGCCCGGGCGACTGTCCATCTCAACTGGCAGGGACCCCCAGAAGGGGCCCGGAGGGAGGGGTCAGCCTCACATCCCTTGGTCAGGTAGGACTCGGCCTGGCTGGGGAGTACCCAGCAGCTCTGGCCTCAGTTCTCCACACATTGAGGACGATGCTGGAGGGTTTCCTCATCTAAGGTGCAAGGCCTGGGGAGAGCCCAGCTCCTCCCAGCTGTGTCCACTCCAAAGGGTTGATAGCCACAGGAGGTGGCCAGCCTGGGACCTGTGCCCTGAAGCCCTGCAGGAAAACCTAGCTTTCTGCCTCCCTGGCCTGGAGTGGCTTCAGCCACGTGGCACCACCTCCCCGGTGAGATGGTCTGTTCCACGGGGGTGGGGGCTAAATGAGAGCGGGTCTGGAGCCCGGTCTGCAGAGGGGTCAGGGCCAGGCAAGAAGTACCACTGCTGATGCTGGAAAGGGTCTCCCAGGCGGCGGCCGTGAGGCTCCAAGGGGCCAAGGGACAGCCGGCTCGAAGCACCCAGCCCCCCTTCCCAGTTCATTCCCAGCCCAGGGGGACATGGGGGCTGGGCCTGGACTCGCGCTGCCTACCCAGCCCCCCACTGCCACTCTCTGCCCTCAGCTCCAGGACGGAACCACTCCAAGTCACTGGACTGCTACTGTCCCGCTAATACTTTCTTTGTTTTTAAGATTTTATTTATTTATTTGACAGAGAGAAAGCACACAAGCAGGGGGAGCAGCAGGCGGAGGGAGAGGGCGAAGCAGACGTCCTGCTGAGCAGGGAGCCCGATGATGTGGGGCTCGATCCCAGGACCCTGAGATCATGACCTGAGCCGAAGGCAGACGCTTAACTGACTGAGCCACCCAGGTGCCCCCCCACCGTTAATATTTTTGATGCCACTTTTGCAAATTAAAGCATAACGCACCAGGATGAAAGGGCAGCCTCTGCATCTGTTTGGAGGCCAGATAAAGGAGCGCTGGAACATCTGTACATCCTACAAAGTTTTGATTTCTCTCATTCAGTTAGTTTCGCCATCCCACCCTTTTCTGAGCATCCACAACTCAGGCTGCGGGTGGGCCAGGGTGGAGGAGCAAGGGTAGGGCTTCCTGGGCTTTGGAGGGGGCTGTGCCCGCGGTCCCTGGCCCACAAGGTGCTCTGCACAGTGTTCTGTCACCTGCCCTCACCTCCACACCTTGGGGAGTATGCGCCCCAAACTCGAGGGCAGAGGCCTAGGGACTGCTGGTGTGGGGCCGGGGAAGCAATCCCTCCAGCCAGCCTCTGTCTTGATGCCCTGGCCGGGCACCTCATGGCTCCCCAGCACTCCATGGGTCCCCTTCCCGGCAGAGCCCTCTCTGGACTTGGCTGTCCAGAGACCCCCGCCCCCATGTCCCTCAAGGCCCAGGAGACCCCATGGGCCACCCAGCCTGGCCTAGGGGCCTGACACCCTGTGGACTCCTCAGCCCACTCCCACTGGGCTCTGAGTTCTGGTCCCTCCAGCTCTTCTCTGGGCGGGAACCCTGCTGAACCCCTTGACATTCCCCTTGGGAACAGGCATGGGGGGCCCCTCCCGGTGAAATCACAGAGACCAACAGAGTGGGCAGACACCGTGGGACATTTATTTGCAGCTGGTTAAGTGCCAGGCCACCTGGGGCAGGGTGTGGACTGGCCCTCCCATGGCTGCCAGTTGGGCGGCCTGGGAAACACTGGCCCCTAGTAGGTGCGAGGGTGCCGGGACAGACCCTCTGGGCCCCAGCCCTGGTGTCACTGCCACCGCACCCCCCAGGCTTTTCACCGGGGCTTAGCGCCAGGCCTAGGGCCCGTGTCTGCAGGGTCGTGGGGAGGGACATACTAAAGGAGGTTGAGGCACATCTGGTCGGACACTTGGCAATGCAGCCCAGCCCGGGGCCTGGGCAAGGTCACTGGAACACTCAGGGAGACTGGACCATGCGCTTGTGGGTGTCAAAGACGTAACGCTTGAAAGACAGGCTGAGGGCCACGTGCTGCGCAGGCTCAGACCGCTCGGCCACCTCCTCCTGCTTGGCTGCTTCTCCTCGGCCGGCCCGGCCCCGCTTCTTGAGGGTGGGTGTTAGAATCTTCTTGGACTCGGGGCTGAGGCCGCCTGCGAGCACAGAAGGAGAGCCTGTTACTCCGCCACTCCCTAGCCTGTGCACTCACCACCCTAGATGGGGACCCACTCGTACTGGCCCATTTCCGAGTCTCCTAGGCCCATCCCTCACACTCTCTTAGGCTGAGCTAGGACCCCAGTACTACCTGGGCTCACCCTCTTCTGCCTCCTTCCCCAGCCAATGGGCCCCTGAGGCCTAGGGTCCACTCTGCCACCTAAATCCCTACATTCCAGCCCCTCCCCCACCATGCTAGTCATGGGCCTGTCCAGCTTGGAGCTCAGCAGGGCTCCCCACCTCCGTCTCCCAGTCCCCTGCCCACCCATCCACTCTGCACTCAGGCTCCTGTGCGGCTCAGCCCCACACTTGGTGGCCACGTCCTTCTGCTCTAAATGGTCCTGTTGTTTCCCAGAACAATCACGCTAAAACACATACACTGAAACTTGACATCTGAGGCTCCATGGGCTAGGTGTTCTCCAATTGCCCCTGAAGATCCACTCTCTGCTCCTCTGTGTGCTTGGGAGGCTGACCTCTGCAGACAGCATATGGGCTCCTGTGCCCTCTGGCTTCTGGTTGGGTTCAGCCAATGGGAGCCCCAGCAGATCAGAGGGTGGGAGGAGAGAGCAGCTGGGGTGTTGATTTCTGTTCCCTAAGGCTGGACCTCCTGTTGGGGAGCCTTCTCCCTGGGATTTTGCAAACGCTGTCCCTCCACCCCCATGCAGGGGTGAGAGCGGCCCCCACTGGTTTCCATCACATCTTACCGGCTCCTTTAAACATCCACCCTCTGTTCACTCCCTCCACTATGTTCAATATATAGACTTTCTATTCACCCTCTCCAGCCAAATGATTGAGTGGAAATCAGTTTCCTGCTAAGACCCTAAGGCCAACCCTAACTCTCCAGGCCCCTTCACCCATTGCTTTTGTGTGTTCCCTGCTGCCTTGAGGAACACGTGGCCAGTCCTGGGCTCCCTGCAGTCACACTTATGAGCCTCTGCACAGGCTGTCCCCTCTGCCTGGAATGCCCTTCCCCGCCTTGCCAATGTTAGAAGTCTCACTCTTCTTTGAGCACCAGGCTTTCTCTGGGGCTTGTCTTTATAAGGAAACTGCTTGGTAGCAACATGGTGCAGCGTCTTTGGGGGCTGCTGGCCAGGGTGAGCTCTCGGCTGCTTCGAGCATGGGTGGGGAGGCTCTGGCTCCCCCAAGGCTGTGGCCAGGCCTCAGACCAGCTCTGTACAAGCAGAGAACTCTGGAATAGGCTGCTCACAGCCCTGCTGAGGGAACCTGGTGGGAGCAAGCTGGCAAGGCTGTGTGGCGGGGGGGCGGAGCAGAGGGGGCGCCGTGAGACTTGCATGGGGCAAGAAGGCCCAGTGAGTGGCAGCTCCGGGAGTGACTACTGGGAGAGCTGGGTACACAGCCTTCATTCCCTGGCAAGGGGCAAGTGAGGTGGAGCCCAGCCCACACTGTGCTTGCCAAGAGGGGTCCTGGCCGGCCTGTGTCCCCCCACTTCCTTCCAATATGCACAGAGGGGCTATATTGGCCAGTGGACCTAGAGGCTGAGTCCAAAGCTGGCGGGAAGCTGGGGGTAGGCATCAGGCAGAGGGCTCCCTTCCCTGCATGCCCTGGTGCACCCTGATCTGTGTCTGCCAGGGCCTAAAGGGCATCCTCCTTTGCCCCAAGATTGGCCAGGTGTTAGCAGTCTCCCTGAGAAGCCAGATGTGACGCTCTGATGTCAAGCTTCAGTGGCCAGGACGACCTTTGCTCATCATGTCTCCACCAGGTGCGGAGCTCTGGGCGGCAGGGGTGTGTGGATTATTCTGCTTAGACCAAGCACACATGCATGTTTGCTGAAGCAACCCCTTCATCTTACAGAGGAGAAATCGGAGCCCCAAGGAGGGCACGGACTCCATCCAGGCCCCACAGTGAGTCAGGAAGAGCGAGGGTTTGAACTCGGCTTGCACCTGCTGGCCAATGCAGGTTACTGCTCCCCAGCCCATCACTCGGTGGGGGTCCACCTTTGGCAGACTCCTGGAGACGACCCTGCTGTGAGAGCACCCTGGATGTTTAGAAAGGTGACCAGGAGGTTGCTTTAAGGCACACTGGAGAGTCGGCCAGGGATGGTCCTCTAAGAAGGACTCGGTCTCCCTTCCACAGGCAGAGGTGAGACTCCTGGCCTCTCAAAGCCTGCACGCCCCAGGAAGGCCGGACTCGCGGCTGATGTGATTGGGGTTCTGGGATGCTAGGGGCCTGCGGGACCCGTACCAACGGGAACCGTCCTCCGGCTGGGCAGCACGGTGTCTGCTCGCAGGCCCCACACCCAGCCGGTCAGCGTACTTCTGGGATGGGGCGTGGGAATGGCCCCGGGCCAGGCCCCTAAGCTAGCGCCAGGCCCTCAGGTATCTGCCTCCCCGAATCGGAGCCCCGGCCTTCTTTCTGCAAACAGAGAAGGTGGCTGGCACCAGACCCTGACAAATGGCATGGGCAGCCTGTCTCCCTCTGGTGCCAGGAGGTCTGATGGCTGAAGAGGCGCGGGGCTCCCCGGCGTCTGCGCCGGGCCGGGGAGACAGGCGTGGCCCAATCGGCAGTCCATCTTGCCCGCGCTGGCTCCCATTACACACGGTGCATACCTCACACTGCCCAAAGCAGGCAGACCCAGAAAATCTCTCTGGCACTGGAGAAGATGTGGCCATTTAATTGCTCTTCTGAGATGGTCAGGCTCATTTTCCTCTGCTCCGTTTGGGGGTGGCCTGGACACAATGCCCAGAAAGCCTCACCAACGGGTGAAGCTGTGGATTTGGAGCAAATGTCCCTGGGAGCCGCTCTGTTTTACATTGGCCTTTCTCCCCCCTTAGCCAGACAGCCAATGAAGGGAAGTGAAGTGCAGCTCAGGATGTCAGGGGTTGGAGCAGCTGCCCACGCTGAGCTTCTCCCAACCTGCCCCTGTGTCTTTCCCTGGAAAACATTCACACAGTGCTCCAGGACTGGAAACAATGGTGGTGAACATGCAGACCAGGGCCTGGCCTCCATGGAGTTTACGAGTCTGAGAAGGGGCAGAGAGAAGATAGGCCAGCAAGATAATCCAGATAGCCACCAAGGCGATCAAGGAAGCAAAACTGCTGTGTCACCAGGAGGGGAGGGCGGCCAGGTTGTATGTGCCCAGGGCTGGCTTTTCTGAGGAAGAGTTCTGAATGCGGGAGGGGGAGGTCCAGGTGACAGGGACTGGCTGCACGGAGATCCTGGGCAAGGGTCTGCAGGCAAAGGGAATCTGAGTGCCCAGTTCTGGCAGGCCAGGGGGGTGGGAGGGGGGGCATGAGCATGATGCTTGAGGACGTGCAGCTGCGTGCTGGGAGGGCTGCAGGGAGACTGCAGCTTACCACGTCCATGTAATGCAACCTGTGTGCCCGTTTCTTTGGGGCCCAAACCAGGGAGGGTCCCAGAGACCTTGGGGGACTCAGAGTGGTGAGGGAGGCGGCCAAATGCCAACTGTCCACCTGCCTGGTGTCCACCAGGGCTCCTGACACTTCCTTCCTGTAGGCCCCGGGGACACAGAGGCAAGCAGGACCATCCTGCTCTCATGGAGCTACCATCCTCTCTTAGGGACCTCCCTCTGAAGCACCCTCTGGTAGGCCACATAGGTTGGGCAGCTATGTGTTGCCCCTCCCGGGATGGCCCCTGACCTGGGGAGCATGCTTGGAGCTCCTGGCCTCTGACTCCTGCATCCCTCTCCTCCCACATGACCTGGCCCGTCTCTGAACCGTTTGTTCCCCTCACCCCAATATACCAGGTGCATTCCCACCTCAGGGCCTTGGCATTCACTGGTTCTTCCACTGAAAGATCCGCCCCAGGAGTTCCACTGGCTCCCAGTTCCACCTCCTAATCGCTGTGCAAATGTCACCTCCCGGTGAGGCCTTCCTGACCACCTTCACCCCCGCTGCCCCGACCCCTCCTACCCAGCTCTATTTTTTCCAAGCTATTATCACCTTCCAACACACCGCTGTGAGTTCCTCATTCTGATGTCTGTCGTCTGTCCCTGACAAAATACAAGTTCTACCATGGCAGGGATTTTGTCTCTCTATGCACGGCTGGAGGCCCAACACCTAGAATGATCCCTGGCTCAGAGGAGGGGCTCGAAGAATACTACCAAGGAATAAGCACCGGCTATGAAGCTCCCACGGTGGTCACTGCGTGGACCCAGCAACCCATCCTAGGCATTCAGTCTTAACAAGGAAACTGAGATTTGTACACACAGATGTCCCCACGCATGCAGGCACTTAGCCCTCACAGCACAGTGTGGAAGACGCCAAGGCCCGGGCCAGTAACTGGCCCCAGGCCACACAGGTCTGCAGAGGCAGAGCTGGGCTTGGTGAGGCGACTTGGTGCCAAGGTCTGGGTGCACCACTGAGGCCTGTGAAGTTACAGGGGTGCAGGGATCCACAGGAGGGCAGTCAGGATAGGACTGGCGTGCATTTGCTGTGGCAAAATATTCTGGGAGATGAAGTGATACCTGAGAAGCGCTTAAAGTCACACAAAGACAAACTTACAAATTAATTGGAAAAAAAAAAACCCACAGGAATAAAAATTGTTGGAAGAGTTCTGCTCTAACTCTGGGTTGCAGAAAGAAAAGACTAGACGACTATCCACTAGGCTGTCAGAGAGCAGGAGTAAGTTACAGGCAACGCTTTCTTCTTCCATCTACTTTTCTCTGCTTCCCAAGGTTTCTTTCTTTTTCTTTTTCTTTTTCTTTAAAGATTTTATTTATTTATTTGAGAGAGAGAGAGAACAGGAGCCAGGGGAGGGGCAGAGGGAGAGGGCGAAGTAGACTCCTCACTAGCCTGATGTGGGGTTCGATCCCAGGACCCTGAGATCATGACCTGAGCTGAAGGCAGACGCTTAACTGACTGAACCACCCAGGTGCCCCTCTGCTCCCCAAGGTTTCTCCTGTGAGCCTGGGTGCTCACGGGACCATCTACTCGGGGCCACCGGCATGACCTCTTGCACC